CCTGGCCCTGTGGGTGTAGGGGTCTGAAGGTGAGGGTCTTATCAGAATCTGTGATGGTTGCAACATATGTGGTGAGTGCCAGCACCCGCTGCTGCCTTAGAAACTATCAACAGTGGGAAGATGTCAAATATAGAAGCTAGTCTCGAACAGGCAATAGTTCAGGCATTCTTCTGAAAACCCAAACTAAAAAAGTTGGGTTCAAACCATTGGCTCATCCAATGAAGGGGTTTTAGGGCCCTGTCAGGCAGACAGATTTCAATGGCAGCCCTGACTGCAGGTTATGCCATGATCCTTCCCGAAGGATAACCATTACGTGAGGTAACCGGTCAGGTCAACTATGGGAAAAATAAAAAACACATATGATACAGTCTCCCCCGTTAGGATGGACACAACACTTGTTGTTTTTCTAAGTCCCCCTTCGTAACATAGTTTTATCACCTGTTGATCCTGCCAGTAGAAAAGGTTTAAAGTAGCATTAAGCCCTCAATGTAAAATAACTATCGATATTAGGTACCATTCCATTACTATTAGGTGATCTTTGGGACTAGATGCCCTATAATTCTGTGGGTACTGCTGTCTTGTGCATGAGGAGATCACCAGCACCTAGACAATTGGAAGCATAGCATGCTGCAGAAAATAGGGACAGAAAACAATAGTCATGTAAACACATGCTGCTGCATTTATTTTTTCTCTGGATGGTCCCATAACACTAAAGGCACATGCAAAAATTTGTACTCTAAGCACCCCATTGGTGCAAAATGGTTTGTCCAACCCCCGTAATCGCCCCTTTTGCGGTACAGCTTGGCCTTTCAGAGGAAGTGGAAAAATAATGGCTCTACTGGTAGGATCAACGGGTAATAAAATTCTGGTGGTAATAAAAAAAGAAAAAAGGCATTAATGCCATTGACAGACTGTATGCTATGTGTTTTTATTTTGGTCATAGTTCTACTTTAATTAGAAACATGGATAGGCAACCTTGGCTCTCCACCTGTTGTCGAGATAAAAGTCCCATGAGGCATTCACAGGCATGAATCCCAGAGGCAGAGGCATGATGGGATTTGTAGCTTCACCACAACTAAAATACCAAGGTTGCCTACCCCTGATCTGGCTTATGACATATCAAGGTTCTTTGCCTCCAAAAGTCCTATAAGCGTGGCAGGGCTATTCATAATTTTTTTTTTCATGGGGGAAGCTCAGCCTCAGGAACTACAGGAAATTAATTAGGCAGTGCGCTGAGACTGTCAGAGAGAGCTGTGGCGCCGTGGACACTCTGGGGTGGAGCTTGGACCCCCCAATCCACCCCCCATCCTTATTTAAACCCATGAAGTGTGGAACAATAAAAAATAGAACAGAAGGCTTTTCCTGGAGGCCTCAGCTTCAGCAACTACAGGAAATTAATTAGGCAGCATGCCGAGACTGTCAGAGAGAGCTGTGGCGCCGTGGACACTCTGGGGTGGAGCTTGGACCCCCCAATCCACCCCCAATCCTTTATTTTTCCACACTTCATGAGTATAAATAAGGATGGGGGGTCCAAGCTCCACCCCAGAGTGTGCACGGCGCCACAGCTCTCTCTGACAGTCTCGGCATGCTGCCTAATTAATTTCCTGTAGTTGCTGAGGCTGAGCACCCCAGGAAAAGCCTTCTATATTTTATTGTTCCACACTTCATGAGTATAAATAAATATAGAATAGAAGGCTTTTCCTGGAGGCCTCAGCAACTACAGGAAATTAATTAGGCAGCCTGCCGAGACTGTCAGAGAGAGCTGTGGTGCCGTGAACACTCTGGGGTGGAGTTTGGATCCCCCTATCATCCTTATTTGCATGCTGCAACTGTCAGAGACAGCTGGTGTGCCATAGATGCTCTGGGGCAATTGGACCTCCAAGACCTCCTCCTTTTCTGCACCACTGGAAAAATACAAAATAAAATACCTGGTTTGCTTTTCCTTAGCAATCAAAAAAGGTCTAATGTTAATCTAATCTGGTTGACAGATCTAAGAAGCTAACGCATGGTTCCACCTGCCAGCACGGGCTCAAGACTATGATATGTTGTCCTAAATTTTCACCAAAGCCCGAAGATGACACCCCAATAAATGCATGTATTTAGTAACATCTTCAGTTGGCTTTACATATCAAGTTGAAGCTTATCCATAAAGGAGTATCCCTTTCAAAAACAATTCTTCCTGCTCAGATATCTTCGTATGTTTGTTAAGAGAAGGTCCACTCCATCATATGATCTGAGTCAGCACAACTGATACCCATGTGTCCCCCCCTATTGATTCCATTGACACGATGTAGGACTTCTCATTATAATCTTTCTTGCTCTTGTCCACTAGAGAAGGAGGCAGTTGAGGAACAATCTCATTCATCAACATTACAAGGAATGTTAACTCTGATATAAGACAATTATAGTCATCATGACAGAACTTGTCCTGCCTGTATTAGTTCTCTACAAAGAAACTCCCCAGATTACTTCACAACAGGCCGGGGTAATTGCCTCCTTGTTTGTCAAGCATGGCCTACTCTTGACCTGACGAGATTAGACAATACCAACCCAACCAAACTACTAGGGAAGAATGGAAGAGCTGGGATGGGCTATTGTTTCTCTTAGAGGAAGTTACTGATGTAGAGCTGTGATTCCCAATCTCAGTCCTCAAGTACCACCAACAGGTTATGTTTTATGGATTTCCTTCACGTTCCAAAGAGGCTTTAAAAACCACTTGCTGCCCAATGATGTACCAATATGTCATCGGGTTTGAGTGGTTATGCCGGGCCCATGGTTGTAGCTTGTCGCCCAATGACGTACCCATATGTCATTGGGTTTGAGTGGTTATGAAAGGGCCCATGGCTGTAGCTTGTCGCCCAATGACGTACCCATATGTCACTGGATTTGAGTGGTTATACGAGGGCCCATGGCAGTAGCTTGCCTCCCAATGACGTACTGATAGGTCATTGGGTTTGCGTGGTTATGCTGGGCCCATGGCTGTAGCTTACCGCCCAATGACGTATCCATATGTCACTGGGTTTGAGTGGCTATACAAGGGCCATGGCTGCAGCTGCAATCATTACACCAGCATCTTTTTTTTCTCAGCCAGCAATGCTGAATAAAGTAAAAGTGATCAGAGCAGCTAACTAGCTGCTGACTTGCTTTTACATGCAGCGAAATAGGGGCCAGCCACCTTTCGCCGCCTTCTTGGGCTCTCCCGTTCCACAGGGGAGTCAAGGACTGAGACCGGTGGATTCTCAGGCTTACCATAGAGATTACCGAGGACCAGAACATCTGTGGTCATCTCTATGATCTAAGAAACGGGAAGCAACGAGTATTTAATCACTTCCAGTTTTGCCAGGATATAAAGAAGCCATTACTGGCTTGTGAAAGCATCTGACCAAACCGATCTTTGGTCAGATGTTTTTAAGGGCAGAGGAGAGATCTGGGGTCACATAGACCCCGGATGTCTCAGTAAAGAGAACCTGTTGCTGCCCATGCTATCACAAGGGATGTTGTTCATCCCTTGTGATAGCCATAAAAGTGAAAAAAAAAATTAAAGAGCCAGTGTGAAAATAAAAAAATAAATAAAATAAATAATATTCCCTCCACCCATGCTCATGCGCAAAGGTGAACGCATATGTAGGATGCGCACGCATTTGCAAACTGTGGTCGCACCACACGAGACATCACTACAAATGTTATAGCAAGAGCAATAATTCTATCACCAGACCATCTATATAACGCTAGACTACTAACCTGTAAAGGCTTTTAAAGCGTCGCTTTTGGAGATTTTTAAGTACCGTAGTTTGTTGCCATTCTACAAGCATGTTAGGTATCTAATTACTCGGCGTACCATAATTATTTATATTTTTTTCCAAACATGTATGTATTATATATTGTTTGTGCACGCCAAAATTCATTGAAGTTAATTTTATTCCACAAACAAAACCCACTGCACATATATAGTGTGACATAAAAATTGCAATCCCCACCCTTTTATTCTTTAGGGCCTTTTCTTAAAAGAAAAATATATGTTTGGGGGATTCTAAGTTATTTTCGAGTAAAAAGTTGATTTTTACCTGTAGGAGAGGAATGTCAGAATTGGCCTGGGGGTCAAATGATTAAATCAACGTCAACCTTGGCCAACGTCAAATGTTTAAATCATCGTCAACTTTGGCCATCGTCAAATGGTTAAATCAACGTCAACCTTGGTCATCGTCAAATGGTTAAATCAACGTCAACCTTGGCCAACGTCAAATGGTTAAATCAACGTCAACCTTGGCCATCGTCAAATGGTTAAATCAACGTCAACCTTGGCCAACGTCAAATGTTTAAATCAACGTCAACCTTGGCCAACGTCAAATGTTTAAATCAACGTCAACCTTGGCCAACGTCAAATGGTTAAATCAACGTCAACCTTGGTCATCGTCAAATGGTTAAATCAACGTCAACCTTGGCCATCGTCAAATGGTTAAATCAACGTCAACCTTGGCCAACGTCAAATGTTTAAATCAACGTCAACCTTGGCCAACGTCAAATGGTTAAATCAACGTCAACCTTGGCCAACGTCAAATGGTTAAATCAACGTCAACCTTGGCCAACGTCAAATGGTTAAATCAACGTCAAATGCTTAAATCAACGTCAACCTTGACCAACGTCAAATGGTTAAATCAATGGCTTGACTTTTTAAACAGCTATTTTCTCTTAAGGGAAATTTCCAAAACTTGATGTGTTGGAGGTACTTAAGGACCGAGGATGGTAAATACCAATGTAGTTGACTGCATAGAACAAAAAAAATGTACTCCTCAAACATGAAAAAGTATCTCCGCTTTGAATGAATAAAGTATTTGGAAAAATAAGGTATTTTCTCGCCCATAATGTATTAGAGCTCAGTGTGCATGAAAGAAGCCATAAATAATTTATATATTAAGCAAGGTGGCTTATAAATTAACTTTATCAGAGTCTACATAGAAGGCTTGAAGATAAACTGTGCACATCCTCAGGATCTATTCACATCAGCGGCCAGTGGAATCCATGACCCAGAAGGCTCCAAAGAAAGTTTTGTCATCTGAAGAGATATCCACTTGATCAACGGCAGTTACATTTACCTTCAGCCAATCGTTTTTGTTTAGCTGAAGAAGGCCGGCCAAGTAGATTGTTTGCTGTCCATCTTTGCGAATCTTTCCACTGAAAAGAACCTCCGGAGCACCATAGTTTTCATTCAGCCTTATGATCTGTGATACGAAGTGATCTCCAAAGTTGGAAGGAATCTTCAAGGACACTTGAGAATAAACAAAATAATATCCATTTTTTGGAATGTGGATCGACTTGTCTGCATACTGCATATCATCTTTTACGTAGGCCAGCCCGAAATTCGATTCCCACTGTAGAAAAGTATCCTTTGGCTTTGCATTGTATTGGCTCTTGCCTGAGGAAGGAAACACATGTTCTAATGAATAAAGGGTGGTGTTTAATTTACAATGTAGAGAAAAAAATACAAAAAACTGAGCCAAATTCATTGTTTCAGGAGGTACAGTAAGCTGAATGCTTGTGACTAAAAGCTTATGAAGACTATAACTCTTGTTTTGTCAAAAAGTAATCCATACCATTTCTGTGGGCCTGAGCTAGCCGGTGCTCCCATCCTTGAATATGGGTAGGCACTCTGAAGGCATCAAGTACAATGCAGGACCAGTGGTGGCCTCTGTTCCCAAATTTTAGTTACGCAGCGCTTACCCCCCGTGGGGCCACTGAGAACATGCCCAGGTCTGCTAGTACAGGGGATGCCTATTACAGACACAGATCCAGGCACACCAACAATACAGGCTCAGTCTAGGGCAGGGGTATCCAAACTTTCTAAATAGGCCAGTTTACTATCCTTCAGACCTAAGGGGGGGGAGGGGGACAGACTGTGGCCATTGGGAGTAGTGCCCCCTCTTTTATATTTGTCGGGGATTTTTTTTCTCAGAAAACAGGTACAGGTACTCTCCTCTTCCAAGTCATCCCTTGTCTCTGCCCCCAACAACCCCAAGCGCCATCCCCTGGTTCCAACTCCCTACCCACCTCTCGGTGCCACCCCTTTCAGAGAATACAGAGCCAAGCATCATTTTGTGGTGTCAAGTAATTTGAAAAGGATGTGTTAATGATAAGAAAAGCAGTAAAATAGATTCTCTGCAGCCAGCAAAAATAGCCCACAAGCAACAATAGATCCCCTGGCAACAATAGACCCCCCAGCAACAACATATCCCCTCAGCAACAACAGATCCTCTGCAACAAAATATCTCTTAGCAACAACAGATTCACCCCAGGAACATGTGACCCCCAGTAGCAACAATAGATCTCCCAGAAGCCAGCAACAATAGACCCCTCCCTCAACAGTATATCCCGTCCAGCAACATTTGACCCTCCGCAACAACAATAGACCTCTTCCTCAACAATAGATCCACCGGCAACAATAGATTCCCCCAATGGACTCTAGAACACCCCAGCATCCCTTGCCATTTTATACACTCAACGTTGTAGTTGCTGGAAATGCGTTCCCGCTGAAGAACAGCGTTGGTGTTAGTGGGGGAAATAGTGCCTCATTGTTGGTGGAGGTAACAAGGGATGGCCATTATATCTAGGACTCGAAAAGAGCAGTTTCAGTCCATTTAGCAACATCTGGCACTTAATTCCCTTCTAGCACACCCAAATGTCCACAACAAGGTTTTTACTCACAATGTCCTAGTAGCCATCTGCCACCCAGCATCTGCAGGTAGTTCCTCAGTGAGGGAGACAAAGGATCCTTCTCCAGACCAGGACTTCAGGTCAGTGCCCTCCAGTAAATATCCATCAGCAATCGCCTTCAGGCCCTCAAGCCAGAACCTGCTTAGGCCCAGACTGCAGAAGCCCCAGAAGGCTGGAACCCCCATAGGAGGGGAAAGAATACTCTGGAAATGCCTCCTGGACATTTATCACCTCCCCAGCCACCTTCTGGACGACTCCCTTGTCTGCTCAGGAAACACTAAGCAGACAAAAGCAATAGTTCACTGCTTCACTCAGCATAGAAGCCAAAAATGAAATTTAGCCAAGCCAACCCAACTAGAGGGGGCGCTACACCTAAAGCAGAATTAAATCTGAGCGGGGTCCCAGGAGCTGCTAGCCCTGATGTGCACGGCATATTAGCACATTATGGCAGATTTAACCGGCAAGCAAACCCCTCCAGCACTGCACTGTCAGTGCTCCCATCAAGCACGGGCACCGCTATCTTCTCTCGATCTTCCTTCTGGGTTCTAAACCTTCAGTTGCTTGGTTGGCTGGACAATGATGTTGTCACACCATTACGGCACAAAGCCATGCTGTAAATGTGCACTGAGCTGGGCATGCTTTGCTCAGTGTACATAAATGTTGACAGGCATGGAGAGGGGTTTATGACAGATGAAACCAATAGGGTCTCCTCTGTAAAAAAAATTCCATCTATCATTTTTTGCTTTTTTTCCCCATTTAGGGGCGTGAAGGGGTGTCAACATGACTGGTTTGGTTTGAGCCCAGCAAAAAGAGCGACTTTGATCAGTCATCAATATAAGATTGGGTGTGACCAACTGTGAAGGAAGGTAAGCTTTAGTCAATGCTACATCATCCCTTTTGAAAAACAAAATTGTGTTATATGGTCCTTCAGTTGAGGAGGGGGGCACAATTATCAGCATTTTTTATTTCTCGGTGTAGGGTCAAATTTTCTTTTTGTTTTGGATAGAGTCTGGAATTGTTAAACCCCCACTGGGGTTACCCCTCACTACTTACGAGGAAATCTCTCCAAAGCGAGTGAAAATTTCCTCCGAGACAACCATCACTGGAACAGGTGACCCCCCCCCCCCCCCCCCCCTTTGGAAATTTTCCTCTGTTTTTGGGTTTCCATTAACCTTCTGTCTCAGTGACAATGACCACCAGGGCAAATAGAGAGGATGACCCAACCCAGTAAAGACACAGGCAGCAATAAAAACCTTGAAGGCATTCTTACCATTCTCTACTCAATCTTAAACTACAACAAATTATTGACTTTAGATACATATCAAAGTCTAAAGTTCAACTCCTATTCCTTTCTAGATATTTTCTGAAAACTAGGCAAGAGACAAAGGGTGTAGCTACAAATCTTGGGGCTCCATAACATAATTTTGTTCCCCCCCATATCCTGCTTACTGTCATTGATCCCAACATAAAGTATGTCTACATTGGAGAGGAAGCAGAAGAGTCACCATGGCTAGTACATTACTAGGGACAAGGTGAGCTCAGAGGTTGTCATGGATGAAAGGTCCATGGAATCAACTTGTAACCTTCATTCTCCAGCTAACCAATCTGTCCTCTCTTTCAGTCATCTCGAAGGCCTTGGTGCAAACTCATTAGGGCAATTGTTGCTCCACTGCAAAGGACTAATTCTTGGGTTAGTTAGTGTTCTTCTTGGTAGTAACCTAAAAGTTATGGCTTGTGGAGAGTAATGTGAGACAACGATAGCCATTATCCTAGGATGGGAGCCAGAAGAGAGCTATAAAAAGTATGCTGGATCTAGCTTTCAAACTAGATCCTGGCATCATTGACTTGGGCAATTGGGCATCTGTTGGGTCCCTATATACACCAACCAAAAACTCTATGTATTAGGTTTGCTTTAAATATCTAGAAAATTAAGTCATGGGAAGGTGACTACAAGGGATTGTGGTATTTAGCTTGGTAGTTGGTCTGCTCAGGCTGGGTAGAGGTTAACTGATGGGATGTCAGTTTTCCCGGGCTTCTTCTGGGCGTTAGCAGCTGACTAGATCAAACTGTAAAAAAGAACAGTATTTTGAATCCTACTCTTGTTTATTCTTCTGGGCCTTCCCTCTAGCCTGTGGTACATATAAATAGGAGGAAGGCTTGGTCCATGGGGAGCCAAGGATGCCAACACAGGCCGCTGTGCCATATAGTCCCACAAGGTACTGAAGTTCTGGACGACACTCCCAGCTATTGAAAAATGCCAGTTATAGACTTGCACCTTCTAAAAAGGTATGCCTGGGCAGCCATCTCTTAGTTAGGGCCTGGATTGCAACAGGTTTTGTTCATAATGCTATGAAAGTTTTCTAGTAAAATTTTGAGCCCGGTCTGAAGTTATTCTAAAGGGGTGCATGATGGTTTCTGACGGATGAAATAACAGGGCCTGTAAAGCACACACACCATGTACAGAAACAAGGCCACTACAAAGGGTTAACTCGGCATAAGGTGAGGAGGAAGCAAGCAGTTCCCATGGGTAACCAAGGACTAGTGAAAAGTGAAGTGCAGCCTATCATGAAGAGTGGTACCTGGCGTGGCGATGGGTCCTCTGGTAGGGAGGGGACTGGTTCTCTGACTTCCGCTCCAGTGGTCTGTTCCCCCAAACGTTTGGGACTGAACTTGTGTTACGGAGACCCATGGCCTGGCCGCATGGTACGGTGAGCAGAATGAGCCCACAGAAGACCACCACTAATGTCCACCATAATGGACATAATGGTATAATGGACCACCACTAATCAGCATATCAGAATATATGGCTTGCCTCAGTTCTCTATACTACTATACCATATGGGTCAAAACCTTAAGTAGATTACTCTACAACACGCGTGTCAAACTGGTGGCCCTCCAGCTGTTGCCAAACTACAAGTCCCATGAGGCATTGCAGGATTGACAGTTACAAGCATGACTCCCATAGGCAGAGGCATGATGGGACTTGTAGTTTCGCAACAGCTGGAGGGCCACCAGTTTGACACCCCTGGTCTACAATATATATCAACTGATACGTGACCATTTTATGTCTACAGATTTAAAGCATTGTTGTTAAATGCTGACAATCCATGTTGTTCAGGAACTTATTTGAGGACTTTGCATGCCAGTGATGTACTCCTAACTAAAAAAAAAACTAAAAGAAAAAACAAAAACAAAACAGAGAGTGCAGCGCCTTTGTTCAGAACGTCTAATAAAACCCTATTATTGAAATACTTCATGAGACCTTCATATTGCAGTAACCATCTGAAGAACATTCCAAATGGTCACATCACTGGTACCTGTTAAATGAGCCCTGGGTTTCGTGTCCTTAAAATTCTGGGAAGGTCCTTAAAAAAAACAAAAAAAACAAATATTATTAACCAAACTTTTGCCAGTACAACACTAAATGATACAACTCTTCATGCAAACTTCCTAAAATTAATGACCACTAAAAGGACAGACCAAATAAAGACATGACTTGGGAGCTGATTTATGTGATCGATGTTTGATAAGCTTCTAGTAAAGAGGTAAATGCTGCCCCCCCCCCCCAGGGTCGGGACATGGGGTGGGCAGCAGGGACGGCTGACCTGGGCACTGTGTTATCATGTGAGGTGCGGGGGTACCGCAAGGAGATTGAGAGGAGGGGATAGGTCTTGGTAGGAGGAATTTTGGGGGGTGGAAGGGGGGTAAGAATCATTCTAGGAGGGGAAATTTGGGGGGCTTGTGCTAGAAGAAGTGATATGGTAGAAAAGGAGGGGATTTGCACTAGAAGGGGAAGCTTGTTTTGGGGGGTATTTGTGCTAGAAGGGGAAATTTGGTGAGGGGAAATTTGGTGCTAGGAGGGGGGTTGTGCTCAGAAGAAATTTGAGTGGTAGATTTGCTCTAGGAGGGGTGTTTTTTTTTGGGGGGGCATTTGTGCTCGGAGGGGAAATTTGAGTGGTAGATTTGCTCTAGGAGGGGTGTTTTTTTTTTTGGGGGGGGTGCTTTGTGTTAGGAAGGGGTATTGGGGGGGGGGGGGGATTTGTGCTTGGAGGGGCAAATTGAGTGGTAGATTTGCTCTAGGAGGGGTATTTTGTTTTTGGGGGGGGGGCTTTGTGTTGGGGGGGGGGGGATTTGTGCATGGAGGGGAAATCGGAGTTGTAGATTCATGCTAGGTGAGGTGATTTTTTTTGGGGGGGGGGATTTGGGGGGAAGATTTGGGAGGAGTATTTCAGCAGGGAGGCAGATTTGTAGCTGGGAGGAGTATTTCAGCAGAGAGAGGCGGATTTGTACTGGGAGGAGTATTTCAGCAGAGAGGCGGATTTGTACTGGGAGGAGTATTTCAGCAGAGAGGCGGATTTGTACTGGGAGGAGTATTTCAGCAGAGAGGCGGATTTGTACTGGGAGGAGTATTTCAGCAGAGAGGCGGATTTGTACTGGGAGGAGTATTTCAGCAGGGAGGCGGATTTGTACTGGGAGGAGTATTTCAGCAGGGCGAGGCGGATTTGTACTGGGAGGAGTATTTCAGCAGGGAGGCAGATTTGTAATGGGAGGAGTATTTCAGCAGGGAGGCGGATTTGTACTGGTAGGAGGGGGAATTTATGCTTAGGTGTTTATGTATGCAGATTAGTGCTCGATTTTTTTTATAGGGGGTGGGGGGAGATTTTTACTGACACATAATGCTCATATATCTTGGGAGGCGCAGTTTGGCATGTTTTGTTAGGGGGGGGGGGGATTGGGGGGAGGGATTTGTGCATGGAGGGGAAATCGGAGTTGTAGATTCATGCTAGGTGAGGTGATTTTTTTTTTTGGGGGGGGATTTGGGCACAGAGAAGATTTGAGCTGGGAGGAGTATTTCAGCAGAGAGGCGGATTTGTACTGGGAGGAGTATTTCAGCAGGGAGGCGGATTTGTACTGGGAGGAGTATTTCAGCAGGGAGGCGGATTTGTACTGGGAGGAGTATTTCAGCAGGGAGGCGGATTTGTACTGGGAGGAGTATTTCAGCAGGGAGGCGGATTTGTACTGGGAGGAGTATTTCAGCAGGGAGGCAGATTTGTACTGGTAGGAGGGGGAATTTATGCTTAGGTGTTTATGTATGCAGATTAGTGCTCGATTTTTTTTTATAGGGGGTGGGGGGAGATTTTTACTGACACATAATGCTCATATATTTTGGGAGGCGCAGTTTGGCATGTTGACCTTGGGCTATAGATGACCTTGTCCCAGCACTGCTTCCCTCACAGCCATACAGCGCAATTTGGGGATTATTGATCATCCGATTCCCCCCCCCCACTGCGCTCCATGGTTCCTCCCGCCAACCTACAGAACACAATAGAGATTGGCAGGAGGAACCACTGAGCGCAGAAGAGAAGCAGGAGGTTGGCACTCCTGTGTTGACTCTCTTCTTTTCAGGGATGGCATTTTTTTGCAATTTCATTGGTCGCTTGAACTGTTGTAATAATCGCTGTCATACGTCTTTATATCCAAGTAAAATGAATGAAGCCTAGGTGTATCTTTAGTCACATAAAACTATAAATTAGTCACACTGCCGGCTAAAAGTCCCTTTTAATGACATACATTTCGATGTTGTTGGTTCACTTTGGAAAATCCATTGGCATAAAAAAAAAGCAGCCAAATCCAACCTAGATACATATCTTCAATGACCTCAGATCTTTGGCTTCATATTTTATCCTTTCTCCTGCCAGTTCCATGATGCAGCATTTTGGATATTGAGGAATAGCGTCAGAGGGGAATATGGTGCTATAGAAGCCAGGAGGCCTTGGAGTATATGGTGCTATAGAAGCCAGGAGGCCTTGGAGTATATGGTGGTATAGAAGCCAGGAGGCCTTGGAGTATATGGTGGTATAGAAGCCAGGAGGCCTTGGAGTATATGGTGGTATAGAAGCCAGGAGGCCTTGGAGTATATGGTGGTATAGAAGCCAGGAGGCCTTGGAGTATATGGTGGTATAGAAGCCAGGAGGCCTTGGAGTATATGGTGGTATAGAAGCCAGGAGGCCTTGGAGTATATGGTGGTATAGAAGCCAGGAGGCCTTGGAGTATATGGTGGTATAGAAGCCAGGAGGCCTTGGAGTATATGGTGGTATAGAAGCCAGGAGGCCTTGGAGTATATGGTGCTATAGAAGCCAGGAGGCCTTGGAGTATATGGTGCTATAGAAGCCAGGAGGCCTTGGAGTATATGGTGCTATAGAAGCCAGGAGGCCTTGGGGGTCGAGTTAAAGCAGCATACATTTAAATGAATGAAAGCTGAACATTGTAAGTTGTAAATGGTTCGTCTCAGCCCTCCAACTGCCACTTTTGCTGAACAGCTTGCAGAGCCAGATGAAGAGCATCCTGAGTATTTTGGTGGGCCTTTTTAAGGAAATAAATAAAATGAAAATGCAAACTTTTTTTTTGTGTTAAAATAAATTAAATGTAATAAATTAAAACAAGTTAAATTAAATAGGGTGGTGTGTGTGTGTGTATGTGTGTGTGTGTGTGTGTGTGGTGTGTGTGTGTGTGGGGTGGGGGGGGGGGGGGGGGGGAGAGAGAGAAGGGGTGGTGAGAGAGAAAGGGAGAAGAAGGTAAGATTGAAGGGGGGTGAGAGAGAGAGGGGTGTGAGAGAGTGGGGGGGGGGGGGGGGAGGGGGGGGAGGAGAAAGAGAGGAGTGGAGAGGAGGGATGAGAGAGAAGGGGTGGGGTGAGGGATGAAGAGAAGGTGGGGTGAGAAATAGGGAGGGGGGGGGTGAGAGAGAGGGGGGTGGGGTGAGGGAGGGAGAGAGAGAGGGAGGAGGGGGTGAGAGAGAGGGAGAGGAGGGGGTGAGAGAGAGGGAGAGGATAGGGGTGTGAGAGAGAGAGGGAGGGGAGGGGGGTGGAGAGAGAGAGGGAGGGATAGGAGGTGAGAGAGAGCTGAGGGGGTAGTGAGAGAGGGAAAGGATGGATGAGAGAGGGGGGGAGGGGGGGTGAGAGAGAGGAAGGATGAGGCGGGGGGGGGGGGTGAGAGAGAGGAAGGTTGAGGCGGGGGGGGGGGAGAGAGAGAGAGAGAGAGAGAGAGAGAAGGAGGGGGTGAGAGAGGAGGGGTTGGAGTGAAGGAGAGAAGATGAGAGGGGGGTTGGGGTGAGGGAGAGAGGAGTGGGGTGAGAGAGAAGGGGGTGAGAGAGAGGAGGCGGGGGGGGGGGGGTGACAGAGGGGTGTGTGAGAGAGAGGGAGAGGGGGGGCTGAGAGAGAGAGGAAGGTGAGAGTGGGGATGATAAAGAGAGGGTGCCTTTGGGTAGTTTTAGTAAGCAGTAATGCAGCGTGCGTAGGGCAATGATGTAAGCCCGCTCCATTGCCCACCCATTAACCTACATGGTCAGGGATTCCCAGCCATGTATGTGAATGGGACAGGTGACATCAGAGCTTGGTAAGGTTGCAAGCTCCCTGCTGCTTCCTTAGCAACCACTGACAGCTGCAAGTCCTCTTCATCCATGCCTTAACTTTTTGGTGTTTGGTCGGAACTTACAGTCGACGGAACTCTGAACTCAGAAATGAAGCTTAAGAGAAACATAGTTTACAAACAGTATTAAACCCTCTCTCAGTGCTGCTTCCCTGAACTTCTGGACAGTGCAGTCTCCAGCCAGCTGTGAGCTTGGATATGGGAAAGGGGAGAAGCATGGTGGAGCAAGGGAGAGCATTGCCATCGTAGGCTATGGGACTGTGTGTTTCTTGTGATGCACACAGAGTAGTCAGCCACCAATTGTACAAGTTCTCCCACTTAAAAAGATGAGAGAGGCCTGTAATTGGCATCATAGGTAGACCTCAACTATGAGAGACAAAATGAGAAAACAAATCCAGACAATCACATTGGCTGATCTGGAAAGAATTTATTTGCAAATTATGGTGGAAAATAAGTATTTGGTCACCTACAAACAAGCAAGATTTCTGGCTCTCACAGACCTGTACCTTCTTCTTTAAGAGGCTCCTCTGTCCTGCACTCATTACCTGTATCAATGGCACCTCTTTGAACTTGTTATCAGTATAAAAGACACCTGTCCACAACCTCAAACAGTCACACTCCAAACTCCACTATGGTGAAGACCAAAGATCTGTCGAAGGACACCAGAAACAAAATTTTAGACCGGCACCAGGCTGGGAAGACTGAATCTGCAATAGGCAAGCAGCTTGGTGCGAACAAATCAACTGTGGGAGCAATAATTAGAAAATGGAAGACATACAAGACCACTGATAATCTCTCCTCAATCTGGAGCTCCACGCAAGATCTCACCCCGTGGGGTCAAAATGATCACAAGAACGGTGAGCAAAAAATCCCAGGACCACACGGGGGGACCTAGTGAATGACCTGCAGAGAGCTGGGACCAACGTAACAAAGGCTACCATCAGTAACACACTATGCCGCCAGGGACTCAGATCCTGAAGTGCCAGACGTGTCCCCCTGCTTAAGTCAGTACATGTCCGGGCCCGTCTGAAGTTTGCTAGAGAGCATTTGGATGATCCAGAAGAGGATTGGGAGAATGTCATAAGGTCAGATGAAATCAAAATAGAACTGTTTGGTAGAAACACAACTCATCGTGTTTGGAGGAGAGAGAATGCTGAGTTGCATCCAAAGAACACCATACCTACTGTGAAGCATGGGGGTGGCAACATCATGCTTTGGGGCCGTTTCTCTGCAAAGGGACCAGGACGACTGATCCATGTACAGGACAGAATGAATGGGGCCATGTATCGTGAGATTTTGAGTGCAAACCTCCTTCCATCAGCAAGGGCATTGAAGATGAAACGTGGCTGGGTCTTCCAACATGACAATTATCCCTAACATACCGCCCGGGCAACGAAGGAGTGGCTTCGTAAGAAGCATTTCAAGGTCCTGGAGTGGCCTAGCCAGTCTCCAGATCCCAGCCCCATAGAAAACCTTTGGAAGGAGTTGAAAGTCCGTGTTGCCCAGCGACAGCCCCAAAACATCACTACTCTAGAGGAGATCTGCATGGAGGATGGGCCAACATACCAGCAACAGTGTGTGCCAACCTTGTGAAGACTTACAGGAAACGTCTGACCTCTGTCATTTGCCAACAAAGGATATATAACAAAGTATTGAGATGAACTTTTGATATTGACCCAAATACTTATTTTCCACCATAATTTGCAAATAAATTCTTTCCAGATCTGCCAATGTGATTGTCTGGATTTGTTTTCTCATTTTGTCTCTCATAGTTGAGGTCTCCCTATGATTCCAATTACAGGCCTCTCTCATCTTTTTAAGTGGGAGAACTTGCACAATTGGTGGCTGACTAAATACTTTTTTGCCCCACTGTACAAAGGTGGCTCCATAGGATGTTGCAAGAAGAGCTACCCTGAAACAGAAAACCTGGGGCAGCAGTCATGGTCCCAACTTAAACTGGAACATAAGCAAGGATTAAGAGATAAAGAAGCTGCATACTCAGTAATGGGTTAAATCAGCTGCTGAAAGTACTTAAATAACTGAGGGTGTAATATCACTTTAAAGAAAGCTTCAATGTAACTTACCACTTATCTGAGGGGACCTTTCAACCTGAAAGAAAAGAAAGAACAGAATAAGAATCAATTTTTGCAATGCTATCAAAACACAGAACAAACAACTGCAATCTGTAAATCCTTAAATCCGAATTCTAGGCAGCTATAAAAGGACATAAAAATGAATACAACTCTGTAATTATGAATACATCAATAAATACACTATATTGCCAAAAGGAATGGCCCCGCCGTCCCAATCATGTGATTCAGGTGTTCCAATCCCCTCCATGGACACAGGTGTATAAAATCAAGCCCCTAGGCATGCAGACTGCTTCTACAGACATTGGTGAAAGAATGGGTCGCTCTCAGGAGCTCAGTGACTCCAAGCGTGGTCCTGTGATAGGTGGTCACCTGTGCAATAAGTCCGTCCGTGACATTTCCTGGCTCCTAAATTTCCACGCGCAACTGTTAGTGGGATTATAACAAAGTGGAAGTAACTGGGAACAACAGCAACTCAGTCACCAAGTGGTAGGCCACGTCACATGACAGAGCAGGGTCAGCGTATGCTGAAGCGCACAGTGCGCAGAAGTCACCAACTGTCTGCAGAGTCATTAGCTAAAGACCTCCAAACTTGATGTGGTCTTCAGATGAGCACAACAACAGTGCGTAGAGAGCTTCATGGAATGGGTTTCCATTGCCGAGCAGCTGCATCCAAGCCTTCCATCACCAAGTGCAATGCAAAGCGTTGGATGCCGTGGTGTAAAGCACGCCGCCACTGGATCAATTTATGGGGACCTACAGTGAGAACACTGGAAGAGTCAGGTGCCCATCCTATGTTAAGGTTGACCTTGCACTGTGTAGAGGTATTGATTTTGAGACAAAATAGGCAAAAGGTGAAGGGTTCTTTGGCCAAGAACTGTACATTTTTTATATCTGCTGGACCCGGAGAGCCTGGGGAAGAGGGTGATGGGAAAAGCTACCCTTAGTATACTGCCATGTAAGCTTGTATCCTTTGGAAATGAACTCTTCAGGGTAGGCCCTGCACAGGCTCCATTGGAGAACCCATCTAAGGGGACCTACAGTGAAGACACTGGAAGAGTTGAGTGGCCATCAGGTTGGACTTGCACTGTGTCGAGTTATTGATGACGGGACTAAAGAGGTAATGATGAAGGGTGCTTTGGCCAAGAATTGTACGTTGTATGTTGTAAAGCTTTGAAAAGGCTGAACGTGTGGACATACGTTTTTCTGGAGGTGGTTTTTTTTTCTGGAGGTGGAGAATGTGAGTGACCAAAGATGGTGGAGTTCCTCCATATTACAGAAGTGCATACCTTATCTCGTTCTTGTGCAGGAGGACTGAGAAGAGTCCTTAGCCAGCATGGTCATTGCTGGAGATAAATTGGGGCCCTGCATACATGCTGATAGGAGGTGAGAGCAGAGAGATGAGCTCATTGTGCTCCTGTGAATGACTAAAGATTGTGGAGTTCCTCAATGTCAGGGGTCTCCAAACATACTAAAAAAAAGGGCCAGAGTACGGACTTCAGACATAAGGGGGGGACGGGACTGGGCCTAGTGGGAGTAGAAAATGCCCCAGTGTCAATGGAAATAAACATCATTGGTTTTAGTGGGAGTAACAGTGCCCCATTGTTGATATCAGTGGGAGGAATGGTGTCCCAGCATTGAGGTCAGTTGTGGATGGAATAGCGCTCCAAGGGCTGGACAGAGGCAAGCAAAGGGTCATATGTGGCCCCTTGGCTGCAGTTTGGAGACCCTTGCTCTAAGTTACAGGTGTGTGTACCCTATATTGTTCCTGTGCAGGGGGACTGAGAAGGGCCCTTGGCCAACTGGGTTGCTGATGGCTAAATGGGGCCTTGCTTACATGCTGAAGGAGAGAGCAGAGTGACAGAGACATGAGCTTCTCTAACCCTCCGAAGCCTTTTGATTGACTCTAATGCATTTCTTCACAATGGGGAAGATAAGGGAAGCTAAGGACTGGTATAGGCAACGCAGGCAGTTCTTCTTTCAGACACTTGTAGACATCTCCAGCTACTTTATGGGAATAAATACCCTGAATACCTTACGTGACCATGAACCGAATGAAGAATTTGATTACTAGAGTTTGAAAAAACAAAAAACAGGCCATATGTGACCCCTTGGCTACAGTTTGGAGACCCTTGCTCTACGTTACATGTGTGTGTACCCTATACTGGTCCTTGGCCAACATGGTTGTTGCTGGTGGCCAATTGTTGGGGCCTTGCTTACATGCTGAAGGAGAGAGCAGAGTGACAGAGAGATGAGCTTCTCTAACCCTCCGAAGCCTTTTGATTGACTCTAATGCATTTCTTCACAATGGGGAAGATAAGGGAAGCTAAAGGACTAGTATAGGCAACACAGAAGTTCTTCTTTCAGACACTTGTAGACATCTCCAGCTAGTTTATGGGAATAAATACCCTGAACACTTTACATGACCATGAACCGAATGAGGAATTTGATTACTAGAGTTTGAAATTACAACAAGTTGATATTCCTAGCTCTGGTTGTAAAATAACAACTTGAAAACGATTTCGCACAAGGTCATCGGCCAGCGGCGTCAGGTGATAAAACACGATTCCTAATTGGTTACTATATGTTGCTGATTTTTTTTTTTTTTACTTTGCACTTTCTTCTGTTATTATATAAACTCATGAAATTGCGATCTCTAATCTTTAACAACTCCTGACATGGATATTGTTTTCCAATAAAGTGTAACCACGTGGGAGCCCACAAGGCCTTTTGGATAAGAATTCTATGGGAAGCATCCATGTGCCAAACCACAGATTACATTATTATAACTACAATACACTGCCGTATGCCGTAAACTGTAACCACAGCCAAAAAAAAAACAACCATCTAGAACAGGGGTGGGCAAACTTTTTGACTTGAGGGCCGCAATGGGTTCATATATTGGACCCGGGGGCCGGACCAAGAGTAGATGAATGATGTGTATGTGTCATCCATAGTAAGTATAGTAATATTCCCCCATAGTAAGCATAGTAATTCATCCCCCATAGTAATTCATCCCCCATATAGTAATTCATCCCCCATATAGTAATTCATCCCCCATATAGTAATTCATCCCCCATATAGTAATTCATCCCCCATAGTAATTCATTCCCCATATAGTAATTCATCCCCCATAGTAATTCATCCCCCATATAGTAATTCATCCCCCATAGTAATTCATCCCCCCTAGTAATTCATCCCCCCCTAGTAATTCATCCCCCCTATAGTAATTCATCCCCCATATAGTAATTAATCCACCATAGTAATTCATCCCCCCCCATATAGTAATTCGTTCCCCCATATAGTAATTCGTCCCCCATAGTAATTAATCCCCCATATAGTAATTAATCCACCATAGTAATTAATCCCCCATATAGTAATTAATCCACCATATAGTAATTAATCCCCCCTATAGTAATTCATCCCCCATATAGCAATTCATCCCCCATATAGCAATTCATCCCCCATATAGCAATTCATCCCCCATATAGCAATTCATCCCCCATATAGTAATTCATCCCCCCTATAGTAATTCATCCCCCCATAGTAATTCATCCCCCATAGTAATTCATCCCCCATATAGTAATTCATCCCCCCTATAGTAATTCATCCCCCCTATAGTAATTCAATCCCCCATATAGTAATTATATCCCCCATATAGTAATTCATCCCCCATATAGTAATTCATCCCCCATAGTAATAATCATCCCCCCTATAGTAATTCATCCCCCATATAGTAATTCACCCCCCCCCTATAGTAATTCATTCCCCATATTAAGTCCCCAAGTCCCCCCTGTGTCAATTCACTTACCTTTGCTCCGCGCGTTCCTCTCGCCGTGTTCCCACGCCGTTCCGGTGTAGCATGAAAATCTGTCTCCTATGAGGATCTGTCCCCCTCGACGTATCTGCGCATGTGCCAGTTTCAGGCATTAGCAGCCGATCGGCGATCTCCGGCACATGCGCAGATACGTCGAGGGGGACAGATCCTCATAGGAGACAGATTTTCATGCTACACCGGTCTTCAGGGCGGACTGTGAGAGGAGCCTAGCTCCCCTCACGTTCGTCACGCTGCCCCGCCTACACACATCCTGACAGCCATCCTACAGTATCACGCTCCGCGGGCCGGATTAAAAGGTCCACTGGGCCGTATACGGCCCGCGGGCCGTAGTTTGCCCATTGCTGATCTAGAATAACAATATAAATATGACAAGTGCAAGACAGACCCAAACGTGAGCAGAACTTGGAATTTGTTCTACGAAATAGATTAGGCCAATTTATGGTCATTGAGCATATTACATGAGTGACTGTCATGGTGTATCCTGTTTCCCTGACAAAATCTTGAAGACAAAAACGCGTTGGGTGGGAGCTACACAGGCCTATAGATGCACTCAGTCCACTCCAGTGGTGTTTGAAGCTTGTAATAAAACATTTTATTTGACAAGTATCATATCAATACAAAAAAAATGTCTAAAAAAAATGTCTCTTTATTACAAGCTTCAAACACCACTGGAGTGGACTGAGTGCATCTATAGGCCTGTGTAGCTCCTACCCAACGCGTTTTGTCTTCAAGACTGTCAGGGAAACAGGATACCCCATGACAGTCACTCATGAAATATGCTCAATGACCATAAATTGGCCTTTCTGTGCTGTTACTCTTCCCTGACAACTTCTGTCCTCAGCCCTGGTCCCTAGTAGTTGACACTGTCCATTGCACCATACAAAGTTTGCCGGGGGGCCCCAACAAGGTTTTCTATGGGGTCCCATGATCTATAGTTATATCCCTGATGGTGGCTGACAAGTATCATATCAATACAAAAAAAAATGCCTGCCACCATCAGGGACATAACTATAGATCATGGGACCCCATAGAAAACCTTGTTGAGGCCCCCCCGGCAACCTTTGTATGGTGCAATGGGCAGTGTCAACTACTGGGGACCAGGGCTGAGGACAGAAGTTGTCAGGGAAGAGTAACAGCACAGAAAGGCCAATTTATGGTCATTGAGCATATTTCATGAGTGA